GCCTGCCCATGGTCATGCTGGGAGGAGTAAGTAAGTTGTTGTATGGGAAATGCTTAGAAGGGCAGAGATATGGGATCTATTACCTACTGTGATTATGAAAATGGGGTCCTGGTTGGTGCTATAGGATAAGCACTGGACTAGGTACTACAGTCAGCAGTTTAAACTCACCAGCTGCTCCTGAGAAACTCTATATAGGGTCATTATGCATCAGGACCAACTTCATGGCACTTAACAATAACAACAAAAGCTAACCACAAGGTTGGTGGTTCAAACCCACCAGCTGCTCTTTGGAAACCCTATGAGGGGTAGTGATGAGTCAGAACCGACTCAACAGCACTTAACAACATTATGAAGATGGCCTCTGGCTGAGAGGATGAAGTGGAAAGTCTCGGAAAGGGCTGTACACCGAGTGTGGCTCATCTCTGGTGATAGTGCTCGGATGAACCTGGGTAACCTCCCAGTCCACAGCCTGCTCTACCATATCCGCGTGTCCATCTGGAAGGCTTGAAACCCCTATGGAGCACAGTTCTACTGTAACACCCATAGGATCGCTATGAGTCAGAGGGGAGGAGGTGGTGGTGTGTTTTCTGTGTGCCAGGACTTAGGAGGGTCCATTCCTAGGGGCTTTGAAGCCTCCTGGGCTGCTTCTCAGCCCAGATCTGCAGCAGTTACGAGGTCAGCTGGCTGACAGAGGCCAGCCCTAGGCTAGGGATCTGCCACTGATCTCAAGAGAAGGGCTGGTCTTGGGCTGAGCCCCAGTAGGTGCCCAGTCTGGACTGTGCCCTTTCAGCACCCTACTGGTCCCTCTCTACCTTTAGGAGCCTTTCAAATTCCAAGTCAAGTATACTTCAGAATAACTGCCTCTAGCAGCCCTGTAACTGAGGACCTACTGTGTGCTGGGCACTTTGGTAGACCCCTCACTCACAATACCTCTAGTATTCAAAGAGAGATCTTGGAAATTATATATTTGCCTAAGGTCACACTGCTCACAAATGGCCAGGAATCCAGCCAGATCAGATTCTTCTTAGAGACTGACCCATTCTTCTTAGACCTAGAAGGAAACAGAAGCTCAGAGAGGGCAAAGCCCTTGTTTATGTCACACACCCAGTTGGCCTCAGAGGTGACATTGAAATCCTCCTTTGGGGACTTCCCAGGATATGTAGGAGACTGAACTTGAGGGCTCTGGTTTACTCCCATCATCCTCTGCCTCTTCCCCCAACCTGTCTACTGACACTTGACATTATCCATCACTCCCTCCCCCTGGGAACGCCCTCCTCCTCCAGTTTCCATGGCAGCACATTCACCCCATCATCCTACTTTCCTAGCAGCTTCTCACTCTCAACAGGCCATGGATCCTCCTGAGTTTAGGCGGCAGGGGCCCTCCAGGCTGTACCCCCAGACTCTGTTCTCTCCAATGCTGCCCCTGAAAGCTTACCTCCCTTTTTCTCTGGGTCTCTAGCTCTGAGCTTGCATTCTAGTTCCATTTTCAAGTAATAATAGCTACTTACCATGTGCTGGGTCCCATCTGTACATTATCTCATTAAATCCTCACAACCACCACAAATAGGCAGTTCATGCTACAGTTGAGGAAACTGAGGTTCAGAGAGGGAAGTGAAGGTCTGAGCCTCAAGTTTTACATCAAGTAGAGATATGAAACCGTAAGGATTTTGAAGTCAGGGGCAAATACTTCCCTCTCAGTCCTGGGAACGAGAAGAATGGAAATGGGAGAGTAGTGGCGGACAAAGGTCAGACCAACGACACAGGTTTGACAGCTCTGGGCTGATCTAGAATCACTGTCTGTCTGGAGCTTTAAAATGCATCCTGTACAGCACATGTTCAAACATAGAGATTGTAGAACTGTAGGAGGAACAAAAGCTCATGGAAAATTGCCCCTTTCCTGCAGATTATTTTTCCATTTGGCTTTAAGTTTTCAAAAGCCTCCTCCCAGAGTTCCAGTTGCTAAGGTCCTTCTGTCTCAGTAATGCTTGGAGTTAACTGGGAAATGGACCGGAATTCCACTGACTGCTACAAATGGGCTTTGTGACCCACGGGTGAATAGCTTGACCTCCTCTGAGTCTAAAACAGGGGATGTCGTGTATATCGGGTGAGATACTATGCATCGAGTGGGTGGTACACAGAGGTGCTAAGTTAACCCCATGCTCCAGCTGCATCCACCTACTCATTCCTGGGTTTGCCAAGCACTTGTACATCTCTAGGCTTTTGTACACGCTGTGCCCTCTTCTTGACAACCGACTCCTATTCATCCTTGAAGGCTGCCTGACCATTTTCCAGGGTTGCTACAAACATGTTTCAGGAAAAGGCTAGAACGGGTACTTCCCTATGAGGCCCCCTCTGGAGCTCTGTCTCTGGCCCCATAACATGGACAGGAGATGAAATGATCTCTTTATGCTTTAGTCTCCCAACATGAGCCTGGACTTATCTTATTTCTCAGTTCCAGTGCCCAGTGCACACTGCCTGGCATGAAACTTCAATACACATTTGCTTTATCTTAAATGCTGTTGACAAAAAGACAAACTGCTACAGCAGGGGTGGGAAGAGGCAGACAGTTCTGCAATGGCCACAGAAGATGACAGTGGGTGAGCCTGGAGCAGCCTGGAGACAGGCCCGGGGTGGGCAGTCTAAGGAGACACAGTCCTCATAAGGAGAAGAGCTCCAATGTCACCTCCTTCAGGAGTCCTGCTATGGTACTGTAGGATAAGCACTGGACCGCTAACCTCAAGGTCAGTAGTTCAAACCCACCAGCCAATCCTCAGAAACCCAAGTCAGAACCAACTCAACAGCATTTAGCAACAACAACAAAATGCTCCCAAGGCATTAATACCAGGGGTCTCCTCCTGCTGTTCCCCCATCCCTCTCCTCAGATATCTCTATGGTTGGTCAGTGGTAAAGGTGATCTTGGTGGGCTGGCTTAGTGGGCTGGATCTGAGTGCTAGGCACTAACTACCTCATCTGCCCAGGAGCTCAGGGGAGCCATTTTCAGGAGGACCTTACCCTGGGGGCATCCCTGCCCCCAATCTGCCCAACGTCCATCTGGGTGACTAAGTCCCCAACCTCTGCTGGAGTGACAACCTCCCAGACAGGAAAGGCTTTTGTTCCAAGGAAATGACTGTCAAAGGAATGAGGTACATTTCTTTCTTCCTTTTTCCCCTTTTGAAACAAAGAAGTCAATTTCTTTCCATCTGTCCCAGAAAGGAAAGAAAATTAAATTTGTTTTTACAAGAATGTCAGCATACTGCTTCAATAGGAAGTCAGAGGTACATGACTGAGGCCGTGGGAGAGGTGGGGTGAGAGACATGGGGGAGGCACAAGAAGCAAGGGCAGACCCTGATATCTAGGGAGACAAATATCTGGGAGGGCCTGAAAAAAAGAGTCAAGCAAATGAAACAAAAAACCCCCTATGCCCAGCTCTGGGTGGATCCCCTCAGCAGCTTGAAGGTGACTGCCAGAGCAGGCAGACCTGGAGAACTTAGGAACTGGGGTGGAGGGAGGAAAGGGGAGAAGGGAAGAAATGTTGATACTAGTATCACAGCTATAAAAGCCTTCATCTCCCCAGTTTAAAGTCAGGTCCCCATGTGGGCTACTGGACACAGGCAGATGCTTGGGGAAGTTGGCAAGGATTTCTTCAAAGTACATATTGGGGCCCAGGGCTGGGAGGAGGCAGCATCCCACAGTGCTTCTGATACCCTCTCCAGTTCCAGGTGCCATTTACCATCCATGGGGTTCTAAATCCATGGTCCTGCTCTCAAGTACCTAACCCAGAGAATCCAGGGCCCGGGAATCCCTGAAAAAAATGCAATCTTTGCCCTGAGGACCCATGCCAAAAGCAGAAACCTCGATCCTCAGCCTCAATCTCAAACCATAGCCCCTACCACTGCTGGACCAGAGGCCTCCTGGCTGCTTGGCTCTAGAGTCTCCTTCATCTCGCCCTCAACCCCCATTAGAACTCAAGGCAGAGTCCCCCTAACCCACTGAGGCTCTGTCCCGCAACCCTCTCCAGTAGTCTATGGTTCCGCTTCACTGTCCTGTCCTGAACACCCCTGGGACACAGTGCTGGAGACACTATTCTGATCCTGAGGTCCCACTCGTTCCAAGGACATGACTACCAAGGGGACAGGAATTACGGTTTCTCTTTTTAAAAGATAAAGACACCAGAACTGAATTGAGCCCCATCCCCTACTAGAAATTGGGGCTGGGACTCTATCCCAAAGTTGATGTGCCACCCTCTTGCACATGGGTCCCATCTCACTCTCCCCCACTGCAGAGAGGCCCTATCCAGCATTTGGATCCAATCATCCCCACCACTGCCCTATCCTGGGTCCTGGGCTGCTGGGCTCCTTGGAGTCTCAAGTCAGATTCACTCCTGAATTCTGGCTCCTGGCTAGACCTCAAGGCTGGGGCCCTAATCAAATGTTCCAAGGTTGAGCCACTCCATTGTAGCAGCCCTGTTTCTGTCCCAATTCTAGAGCCCCAGACTCGGAGGCCTATCTAAGTTATGGCAGATATGGCATCTGCTCTGGGCACCACCTGAAGGGGGCACCACTGAGCATAACTCTGTGTGGCTCAACAGCCTTCTTCAAGGATGGTAGCTATTCAGAGGCATAACAACGTGGTGGGAGGGCAGAAGGAGGCACTTGCCCCTGGGTGCCAAGTCCACGGGGGGGTGGGGGGCACTAGATAAGGCGGAATGACATTCACAGGCGCCACAAATGTGAAAAGCGCCTAACTGAGGCAGCTGGACCAGAGCCCAGAAGGCATTGCTGTTTGATGGGTCTACGCTTTCAATGTCATCTTGAAATAGAGGGGCGGGGAGGCAGGGCACAATTTAGAGATGACCCACACCCCTCCCCCTTTGAATGGCTAGCTCCCTTCTTCCACCTGAGCTGTAGATCACTGGCATTATCATGACCCTGCCTAGTCACGCCTGGACGGCCCCCCTCTCCAAAACAGAGGTCCTGCCCCATTCTGGGTCCTGAACCCTGCTCCCATTAGAACTGCTTAAAGCTGCAGGGCAATTTGGGCAGGGCGCGCAGGGGGCCACTCAGCCTGGTCAGGCAGCGGCGCCACCGCCCAGGCCGTCGGACCGGGTGCAGGCAGAGACCCGCTCACGGGCTGTGGCGTCGCGGGCGCGGCTGAAGCTGCCAGGTTCTGGGCGGCCGCCACAGGGCGAGCGGCAGAGCTGGCGGAAACAACGTTTGAAGTTCTCGTCCAGGAAGGCGTAGAGCACGGGGTTGAGGCTGCTGTTGGCGTAGCCCAGCGCGATGCACAAGTGCAATGCGGCCACCACCAGTGGGTCGCGCCGGTCGATGTCCACCAGTGTCCAGACGATGACGAAGATGTGGATGGGGGCCCAGCACACCACGAAGACACCTACCACCACCAGAACCATGCGCGTGATGCGCCTCAGACTGCGGTCCTTCTCCTTAGAGCCCGACAGCAGGCGCACGCTGCGCAGGCGCAGCAGCATGAGGCCGTAGCACACAGTGATGATGAGGATGGGAACCACGAAGGCGAAGAGGAACACGCAGATCTTGGTCACTGTGTCCCAATACCAACTGGGGCTGGGAAACTGCAGCATGCATACCACTGCTCCGTCTGAATCAGGGATAAACAGAAAGACAGACACAACGTGAGAGGCTGTGAACCTAGAGGGCCCTGCCTATTCACCCTTCTTGACTTGGTCAAATCCTACGGCCTCCTCAGGGCTTTGCTCTTCTGCTGCCTGGAACATTCTCCTTTACTTCTGCACCTGGTAGACTCCTACTTATCCTTAGAGACCCCGCCCCCATTAAGAGTCATACTGAGTCAGAAGAAGTACATCCAGAATGCTCTTTAAAAGCCAGGATGGCAATAATTTGTCTCTTAAATTTCAGACATGTTATCAGGAGGGACCAGTCCATGGAGAAGGACATCATGCTTGGTAAAAGTGGAGGTCAGCAGAAAAAGAGGAAGATCCCCAACGAGATGGATTGACACAGTGGCAGCAGCAGTGGGCTCAAGCATAGCAAAGCACATATCAGGGATGGAGGACCGGGTAGTGCTTCATTCTGTTGTGCATAGGGTCTCTAGGAGTCACAACCTACTCACGGCATCTAGCAATAGCAACAATGGCTGCCAGGTCACTTTGGTTGGGCACGCAGGGCAGGCGTAGCCTAAATTGTCCCTCTTCTGGTCGTCTCCTTCTAAGGTGCTTTCCTAATCCCTTTATAAGCCTCTGTGTCTATGGGCTGACTTCTGGTTTGGCGCTGTGAATCAGCACTGGACTGTGAACCACAAGGTCGGCAGTTCAAGCCTACCAGCTGCTCCTCGGAAACCCTATACAGGGTTGCTATGATTCGGAATCGATTAAATGGCACTTAACAACAACAACACCTCACTGGACAGTTGTGTGGATTAAATAGGCAAAACAAGTAAAGCAGTTAATGCAGTGAGATTTGAATTGTGTACTCCAGAGCAGATGGACAGACACATATGGAAGCCTAGAAGTCAGGGCTCTAACCAGGGAGGGAGGGAGGCTCCAGGGCAGCAGATCTCAGCTTAATGTCAGGAAGAGCTTTCTGATAGCCAGACAGACTTGACTAGAGATAGGAGGGGCACTTAAGATAGAATCCACTCTCCCCATTCCTAGGATATAGCCTTGGGCTGGAAGAACATCTTTGGTGATATGGGATTCAGCTGTAGAACTGAGGTTGACCCAGGAATCTCTTAATCTCTTGGGAGTCTGGGATTTGAACAACCTAACAGTGGACTTCAGAGTCTAGAAGTTATGAGAAAATAGTTGGGGATCCACGCCCTCAGTCTAGGTGTAGGTCTACTGAACATTAGCCTGACAAGATCCCTAGGGACAATTTACTGTACAGTGGGCTAAAAAAGGTCCAGATATGAACACCTGCCCAAAGTCACACGACAAGTAGCATACAGAACCCACAAGTGCTGATGGCACACTCTGGGCAAGTGTGTGTCTGTAGACCAAGGCGACCCATCTGGTTCAGCCCTGAGCAGGGCTTCAGTTAATGGGCTGTAAGCAGAAGACTGATAGTGAGGAGTAGGACCTGGCTACTCAATCAGGACTGACAGCTCAGAGATTGTGGGAGGGCAGTGAGCCTCTGCCCTTGTGGGGATCAAAGATGGCCAAGAAGCCTACTCTCCTCTCCAGTAGCAACCCTCTGCAAACCTTCATCTACTTTGGGGCCAGAAAGAGCAACAGATTTGGAGGCTGCGACCTTGAATTCTAGGCCAAATGCCTGGCTGTGTGACCTTAAATGAACCACCTAACCTCCCTGATTCTCACTTTTCTTACAGTCAAATGGTGGTAGGCATCACTGCCCTGCTAATCTCATCGGCTTCACCACTCTAACTGCTGCTATTTAAAGGTTTTGCACATATGAGTGGGTGTCAAAGAGTTTGTGGGGAAATTCCATGATCTTTTAATTCCATTTTTCCATGAATTTTTTGAAGTCCCATTCATATCTCATTTAACCTTCTCAACATTCCATGATTATAGTGTGGCTCAGATGTGTTAATTAGTCACCAGTGCCTTCGGCACCTACCAGACTACTTTCCTGCTCCCTTATATCCAATCAGAGCCATGACACCAGATATCATGAGGAGGAAGGGATAGGCCATAACGTTGAAAAGTGGCTGTGCTTTCCCTCTATTCCCTCTCCAAATTCATCTGCTGGCCAGGTGCAGAGAAGCCCATAGAGGACTCCAAAAACATCAGTTAAAGCCAAAGTCCCTGTTTGATTGTGTGGAATAGAGCGCTTCCTCTTCCTACACTGGACAGATGTGAGTGAGAAATAAACTACCGTGTTAAGTCACTGAGCTTTGGAGATGGTTTGTTATAGCAGCTACCCTAACTAATACAGACAGTTACTAAAATAACTACTGTTGTACTCTGAGGAGATGTATCTGTCTATACACTCTCTGTAGAAGACTAGGCCTTGCTTTGGTCATAGGAGTCAATGGCTTTTAAATTGGGGTAGAAGGAGATTGGGTTAGGACCACAAAGTCTGTGTTCTGCACTGCTCATTTACTGGTCAGTGATACCCTCAACCACTAATTAACTAGCCATTTAATAAGTAATTAACTAGCCATTCATCCATCTCCTATAGGTGAGTTGTCCACACACTCTTGGCCAATTGCCTGTATGTATATAGACCAGCCATCCATAATTCCACTTGCCAATTATTCATACACTCCCTCTGGACAGCAACCCATATGGTCATTCATTCATCCTCCCAGTAGTCAACTGCCATCTTCCCCATTAGCTAACCACTCATATTCCCACTGGCTGACATCCACACTCCCATTAGCCAGTCATCCACATACTTGCTGGCTAGCCAATCATACTTCTTTTTGGCCATACCAACAGTCTACATTAGTCAGTTGTCCCTCCTCCTCCAACCAGTCAGTCATCCACACCCCTACTAGTCAGCCAGCTACTTTCATTATCAGCAAACCATACCTTCACCTGGGAGAAACCTATGCCCATGCTGATAAGTAGTCTGCAAGCTCACAGAGATCCCTGTGGTCAGTGATCTATGCTATGAGTCACTCACTCACTCACTCACCCCGGGGGCGGGTCACAGCCATGACCATGATGGGTACACCAACACCTGAGGCCAGAACCCAAATGCAGATGTTGATTAGCTTAGCCTTGGCAGGTGTGCGGAAGTCCAGGGCCTTGACAGGGTGACAGACGGCAATGTAGCGGTCGACACTCATCATGGTGAGTGTGAAAATGCTGGTGAACATGTTGTAGTAGTCAATGGAGAGCACAGCCTTGCAGAGCAGCTCCCCAAAGGGCCAGGTCTCCATCAGGTACTTGGCACTTTGGAAGGGCAGAGTGCTGGTGGCCAATGCATCTGCCAAGGCCAGGTTGAAGATGTAGATGTTGGTGGCTGTCTTCATCTTAGTGTACCTTGGAAGAAAGTACACATATAAATATTTCCATTTCAATAGATTTCAGTTTCCCATTAAACTCAGGGAGGTGAAGTGACTTCCCCAAGGCTACACAAAAGGTCAAGGATAAAGCGGAATTTGAGTTATCTAACTTAGCATTATCCCCTTCGACTTTGCAAAAGGATTTCCCTGGCTGTGAGTAACTTTGGCAGAAAGTATCTTTGGTAGCTAAGGAATAGCTTAGAAAGTATACATTACAGTTGTACCAAACAATATGGTTAAATGTAAAACTGGGTCCCAGTGGGAAACCGATCTGGATTCGATCCTGCCTCTACTATTTATTAGGGGCAATGGTGGTTCAGTGGTGGTAGAATTCTCAACTCCCATGCAGGAGTCTTGGGTGAGACTTGGAGCAGCTACCTCTCATATCAGTCGAGGCTTGTGTGTTACTGTGATGCTGACAGATTTCGGGGGAACTTCTAGACTAGCAAAAAAGGTCTTACAGTCTACTTACACAAATCAGCCAATGAAAATCCTGTGGGCCATAGTGGTCTGATCCACAACCCGTCATGGGAATGGTTCATTCATGGGGTTGCCATCAATCGGAGGTCAACACAATGGCAGCTAACAACAACACTACTTTTTTTGTTGAATGATTCTGGGATAGTAACTAGAAATCGCCAAGTTTCAGTGTCCATAAACGTAAAAAGAGGAGTGATATGTGTCCAACCTCACAGGTGGTTGTGATAATTCAATGGTATACTAGAACACTGAACCCTGAGCCCAATGCATATAATAAACATACTAGAGTTGGGGGCTAGGCTGGAGTGAGCTGACTCTTTGACGTTCTGGGAATATGACTGGCCAGTTTGGGAAGGGACTCTGCCTAGAGGATAGGCTGTGATAGCTTATCTGACTGCTTGGAAAAGGCCTGGATGTCCTTCATGGTAGACCAGGGTTCCCAGCCCTCTCTTTGGTCCCTACCACACCTTATCCCTATGCAGTTGGCTCATTCAGCTATAGAAGCAGAAGGGCAGCCTCTTCCCACCCACAGTGATGTAGGGAAGGGAGTACTTGATGTAATGTCATACGTCCAAGCCAGGGCATGTGCCCGGGTCTTCAAGCTGCTGGATGCCAGCAAACCAAGCCACTGCCCCTCCCCACCACCCCTCTATGCTCTAGATGTCTACACTACAGCCAGTCTGAGTCAAGTTTGCGGCCCCTTCTGTGTCAAGGCTGGAACTGGACACCAGGAGCCTACAGACACCACAGAAACACATAGGTCCTCAAGGCAGGGGTAAGGAGTCCTTTCATGGGCACTGGAATGATCAGGGAAACCCATAGAAAGAGTTTCAAATTCCAGAGCAGGAAGGGGCCTGAGAAATGGAGGGAAGTGATTTCTTTAAAGTTTGGTCCAATGACTCCCTTCAAATTACTTTACCAACTTGTGAGACATGCAGATTCCTGAGCCCCACCAACACTGGAGACCTGTTAAATCTTAATCTCTGGAACTGGAATCTTAATCTTTAACAACACCCTCCACCCCAAAGTAATTCTTAGATCTTAGTCTAAAGTTTAGGAATCACTGATGTAGCCTAGGGCCCTTATTGGGGAGAGATGGGGAAACAAAAGCCCAGAGAAGCAGCCAGACTCACCCAAGCCCACACAGTAACAGTGGCAGAGCCAAGGTGGGCAGACCTGACTCCCAGTCCAGTGCTCTCTCTACTCTGCCACACAGCAGGGTGTCAGGTCATCTGATCCTACTTCTTTAGAAACCCTACTGATAGATACCACACTCAGACCTGGGCACCCAGGGTGAGCATCTTCAATGTGTTTTCAATGACTGAGCAAATTTATATTTCATGAAAGATTTTCTTTCATGAAGTGATTTTTTTTTTTTTTTTTTTGGTCTTAAAGAAAATGGGCTCACTCATTGTCCTCTAGGGCCAGCATCTGTCACACTCCCTCCCAAAATAGCTGTCATTTGCTCTGGGACTGGGGAAGCAAAAAGTTTTGCTCAGAGACAGCAGAATTGCAAGTCTCGGGAAGTCTGTCTTCCGTGGGGTGTGGGATCACAGCTGTGTGGGAGGCGGTCTCAACCCCACAGCTGACTCGTCTAATTTCTCTTCTCTTACGCAGAACAATTAGAGGCTGTTCTTTGCCTGCTATTTTGATTTGTGACGGATCCTTCAATTCCCAGAGGGGGCTGGAGATGCTGGGAAGTGGGTGATAAAGTTTCTGTAGCTGGTCCAAGCAGGGCTGAGCGTTACAGCACCAACTGTCTGGGAGCCCCAGGCGCTCCCCTCCTCACAAGCCTCCCTTACACTCATCTCAAACCAACTGCCAAGACCTGGCCTGTGGGCCCTCTCACCAGCCTCAACACAAATGTCTTGCTCTCAAGCCCCCAGCTGTTCCCCCAAAGTTCTTTCTGTATTCTACAAGCTGATCCCTCTCTAACCTACATCTTGACTGATGTGTTCCCCACTCTGTCCCTACAGCCCCCTGGCCTCACTGCTGTTCCTTAAGCACACTAAGCCCACTCCCACTTCTGAATCTCTGCACTAGCTGCTCCTAGAACCCTGGTCTCCCAAATTGCTCATGGCTTGCTCCTTAAATCAAGACTCTATTCTTTCTCCTCAGAGAGTCCATCCCTGGCCACCCTATGTAAAGCATTCCTTCTCCATTTTTTTTATATGGAAAACCCACTGCCTGGCATATTTATCTTCTTTTCTGTTCATTTGTCCCTCTCACCCAAGTAAGCTTCCTGAAGGCAGGGGTCTTAGTCATGTTTCCTGCTGAATCATCAGCAATGTTGTGTCATTTAGTCAAATCTGACTCACAGTGACGCTAAAGGACAGAACTGCCCCATAAGGTTTCCTAGGCTGTAACATAGTGGTTATGAATCAGGCTGCGAACCTTAAGGTCAGCCGTTTGAAACTACCAGCTGTTCTGTGGGAAAAAGATGAGGTTTTCTGCTCCCATAAAGATTTAAAGCCTCAGAAACCCTGTACAGGGTTGCTATGAGTCAGAACTGACTCCACAGCACATAACTATCACTAATCTTTATAGGAGGAGTCCTGATGTGGTGCTGTGGGCTAATGTGCCGGACTGGGACTGGAAAGTCATTTCAACCATGTGGTTGGCAGTTCAAGCTCATCAGCTACTCCTCGGAAATCCTATATAGGGTCACTATGGGTTGGAACCGACTTGACAGCACTTAACAACAACAACAATCTTTATAGGAAGTCCTGATGTGGTGCTGCAGGATAAAGCACTGAACCACAAAGTCAGTTTGAATCACAAGGTCGGTGGTTCAAACCCACCAGCTGCTCCTCAGAAACCCTATACAGGGTCACTATGAGTTGGAACCGACTCAATGGCACTTAACAACAACAACAACAACAACAAAATCTTTATAGGGAGTCCTGGTGTAGCATTGTAGTATAAGCACTGGACTGCTAACTGCAAGGTTGGTGGCTCAAATCCACCAGCCACTACTTAGAACAGGGTTGCTATGAGTCAGAACCAACTCTTAACAACAACAATATTTATAGAAGCAGATCACCAAGTCTTTATCCCATAGTCACTGCTGGGTTTGAATTGCTGACCTTTGGGTTAGCTATCAAGTGCTTAACCATTGTGCCACCAGGGAAGCTTTGGCCCACCAATAATGCCTAACAAACAGGCTCTTAATAGACATTTTTGTTTGGCTACTTCAATCCAGGCCCATGAGCTCTCACAGGGACCCTGGCAGCTGCCTCTAGTCTGTTTGTCTCACCAGCAGCCTCTTTCCCCTGCACTCCATTATCACCTAAGTCAGGATGTTTACTGTGAAAAGCACATTGCAAAAAGGACATTTTCCTGTCAAAACTGTAAAGGTAGAAGTTTTGTAACAAAAAAAAAAGGGAGTAGTTAATCTTACAGTCCAGAAACAGAGAACTCTAGAACCATCAAGGAAAAAGAGCACAAGCAGAATGTGGGACTCTATTCAGAGAAGTGGAGTCCTGGTGTGGCGCTGTGGGCTAATGCGTCAGACTGCAAAGTTGTCTGAACTGCAAGGTCGGTGATTCAAGCTTAGCAGCTGCTCCTTGAAAACCCTATACAGGGTCTCTATGGGTCAAAATTGACTTGATAGCACTTAACAACAACAACAACATCCAGAGAAGCAGCAACACCAGAGATGGAGACAGAGATGAGGACATGGAGAGATAGGGCAACTGAAGACTCTAGACGCATGGAAAGAGAAAGACTGAGTGCTGGTGACCAGGAGGCAGGCTGTGGAGTGTGCCCTTTGGTTGTTTAAATTATTATATATTCCTGAGTGTTTTGGGGTACATCTCCTCCCCACCATCACCAAAAAAAAAAACCCAGAGGGAATGGAAGCAAATACTGTTGAATGGTGATGCACAGAGGAGATCGCAGTAATTGCAGTGTAATGATGGTGTAAAACCAATGTTCTCCCATATAAACTATCTATCACTCAATTCACAATAAAAACTTAAAAAACAAAAAACTTCCCATTACTACTTTATGCCTGAAACTGTGGGGTCAAAACATGTGTTGGAATCTTAACCCCTTTTACCTCTGGATACAATAGTGTAATTTTTGTTATGTTAATGAGGCCACAGGGTGTAGGGCACTTCCTAAACATAATCCCTTCTGAATTAGAAAGAGCAGCATAAATAGACAGGCAAGCACAAATGGTAAAGATAAATGACACACGAAGGCAGCCAAGAAATGGAGAGGCTACATTAGCTGAAACAGATAAGCAAGAGCCACCCCTCAAGAGGAGTCCTGGGTTAATGTGCCAGACTGCAAAGCCATTTGAACTGCAAAGTCGGTGGTTCAAGCTCACCAGCTGCTCCTTGGAAACCCTATACAGGGTCACTATGGGTCAGAATGGACTCGACGGCACTTAACAACAACAGCCCCTCAAGACTCACATCCTAAATTCATCTTCTAGCCTCCTGAACTGTGAGAAAACTTTCTGTTCTTTAAAACCACCCATTTGTGGTATTT